CTTTTTGTTGAGTTGTCGTCAGTTGCTTTGCGATTGCGCAGGCGAGGAGGTTTAAGTAAATCGAACAAAGAAGACTTTTGGGCTTTGTGCCTGCTCAGGGCAAAGAGGTTTAAGAAGAGTGAACATGTCAGCACTCTGGAGCTGTTTGAGCTTCTCAAGTCCTTTTCAAAGCCACCGACGGCTTTTCGGCTCTTTGCTGGTGGGCCATCTGAAACGAATCTGGGGCTGTGAAGGCAATTCGGGCCTTCTAAACCCAATTTTGGGCCTTCCGAAGCCAATCTGTGCCTCTAAAGCCAATTTTGGCCTTCTGAAGCCAATTTTGGCCTTCTGAGGCCAATATTTTGTGTTCTGAAGCTAATTTTGTGCATCTAAAGCTAGTTTTGGGCCTTCTGAAGCTAATTTTGGGCTTCTGAAGCCAATTTTGGCCTTCTGAAGCCAATTTTGGGGCTTGCCAATTTTGCCCTTCTCAAACAAATTTTTGGGCTTCTGAAGCCAATTTTGGCCTTCTGAAGCCAATTTTGGGTCTTCTGAAGCTAATTGTGGGCTTCTGAAGCCAATTTTGGCCTTCTGAAACCAATTTTGGGCTTCTGAAGTCAATTCCCTTTCGAAAACTTTTCGCCGTAAAAAGTTTTTTAGGCACCAGGGCAGCCACCTATAGAAGAGTTGACTTGGGCGCCACGCTGCGCTGGCGAACCCTAAACCCTAAACCCTAAACCCTAAACCCTAAACCCTAAAGCCTAAACCCTAAACCCTAAACCCGAAACCCGAAACCCGAAACCCGAAACCCCAAACCCTAAACCCTAAACCCCAAGCCCTAAACCCTAAACCCTGAACCCCAAGCCCTAAACCCTGAACCCTAAACCCGAAACCCTTAACCCTGAACCCTAAACCCTAGTCCCTAATCCCTAATCAAGAGGCTTCACGCTGGATGTTGACATCGGTGAGATCTGGAGCTTGGCCTTTGATGCCACGTCCAGGACCGGGTGCTTGGGGGGGTCTAGGGCTTAGGGGCCAGCAGAGAAGCCGAACTCCTCATTCCTACACCCCGAACAAAAGTTTAAAGTACTCGAAGACTCACGAATGCTTATGGGTGGGGTTATCATACGCGAAAACAGGAGGCCCCTAATATAAATTCCCAAATAGTAGGATTCCCTTATAATAAGGACCCAATAAGGTAGCCATAAACCCTAAATCCTTAAACCCCCATAAGGACCCCAATAAGGTACCCCGAAATATCGTAAACCTCGGTTTAGGGTGTAGGGCTTAGTGTTCGACAGGTGGCAAATTGGCTTGAAAGCGCCTTCTTGGGGCCGGCGTCGCGCAACGCGTCGCGCGGGTGCTTTCCGGGGCATTCCGCGGCACTTCGGGTGTCATTCCCCTTTAAGCAAAAGGGCCCCGGGAAGTAACGGGAAACCCTAAACCCTAAACCCTAAACCCCAAACCCCAAACCCCAAACCCCAAACCCCAAACCCCAAACCCTAAACCCTAAACCCTAAAGCCTGCCCTCTAAACGTGAAACCCTAGTTCCAAAGCTTCCGTTTGCCTGGCTCCTCTTATGGTTGGAGGACACTTTTCTGCGGTGGCAACAACGAATCGGCTTCTCGGCAACGAGAAAAACATCCCTAATCCCCAATCCCTAAACCTTAAACCCTAAAGCTCTAAAGCATCAGACCACCGAAGCCACTAAGTCCAAAATCCCGCAATGTTCGCGCAGACCAATGTGCTCCTAGGTCTAGGGTTTGGAGTTTAGGGTTTAGGGTTTAGGGTTTGGGGTTTAGGGTTTGGAGTTTGGGGTTTAGGGTTTAGGGGCTGTCAGCCTTGTGTCATGGAGAGGGTGGGGTTTGGGTCTTCGGGCCATGAGGACTGAGGTCGCGAGATTCGGAGGCTTTGTGTAACCCACCATCATACGGTGTTTTTCTAAATTATGGTCCCTATTTTTGGAGAATTCACCGTGTAAACCCTGAACCCTAAACCCTAAGCCCTAAACCCTAAGCCAACCCTAAACCCTAAACCACTGTACCGGGTGCTAGGAAGCAGGGGACGGGTCGGGGGCTGAGGCTTTGGGGGGATGTGCGGCTCCTCAGACTTTGAGATCTCAACTCAGGCCTGCTTCACGGACAAGGGTTCAGGGTTTAGGGTTTAGGGTTTAGGGTTTAGGGTTTAGGGTTTAGGGTTTAGGGTTTACGGTGTAGGGTGTATGTAGGGTTTAGGGTTTGGGGTTTAGGGTGTAGGGTTTACGACTACGGGGTCAGGGTGCTTAAAGGGGTTACGGCAACAGGTTTGGTATCTTTTACCCTCACATCGAGCCCCCCGTGTCTATCCACCAACCCCAAACTCTAAGGTTACAAGTATGCCCCTCGATAGGTGTGTCTGGCCCATATTATTGGGGCGGGCCCGGGCTTTACGAGCCCTTAAGTTCTAACCCAAAAACCCTCAAATTCTAAGCCCTAAGCCCTAAGCCCTAAGCCCTAAGCCCTAAGCCCTAAGCCCTAAGCCCTAAGCCCTAAGCCCTAAGCCCTAAGCCCTAAGCCCTAAGCCCTAAACCCTAAACCCCTTAACCCTAAACCCTAAGCCCTAAGCCCTAAACCCTAAGCCCTAAACCCTAAACCCTAAGCTCGAAGCTCTAAACCCTAAACCCTAAACCCTAAACCCTAAACCCTAAACCCTAAACCCTAAACCCTAAACCCTAAACCCTAAACCCTAAACCCTAAACCCCAAACCCCAAACCCCAAACCCCAAACCCCAAACCCCAAACCCCAAACCCTAACCCTAAACTCAAAACCCCAAACCCTAAACTAGCCGTGTCTCGATATGAGGTTGCAGCCGTCCGGCTGTGAGAAGAGCAAACGGTGGACAAAAAGATTCAGGGGGATTGAGAGGGTTTAGGGTTATAGGGTTTAGGGTTTAGGGTTTAGGGTTTAGGGTTTTAGGGTTTAGGGTTTAGGGTTTAGGGTTTAGGGTTTAGGGTTTAGGGTTTAGGGTTAGAGGGTTAGAGGGTTTAGGGTTTAGGTTTTAAAGTTTAGGGTTTAGGGTTGCTTAAGTCAGAGCTCAGGTGTAGCGTTCAGGATTCAGGGTTTAGACTTCAGGGCTTAGCCGGTCCAGAGCCTTCAGCACAGGGTGAAGAAAGCCCAAATAGCCTCCTCTGAAACAGCTCTGCCTGGTTTAGGGTTTAGGGTTTAGGGTTTAGGGTTTAGGGTTTAGGGTTTAGGGTTTAGGTAGGGTTTAGGGTTTAGGGTTTAGGGTTTAGGGTTTAGGGTTTAGGGTTTAGGGTTTAGGGTTTAGGGTTTAGGGTTTAGGGTTTAGGGTTTAGGGCTCTGCCTGGTTCTTGCGCCTTGTCTGATGCCGCTCCCCTGCAGCTTTCTGGCCAGAGAGCTGCCCCCCCCCACAGCGGCTGGAACGAAGCACAGGCCTTCCCGAATGCAGCTGCCGAAAGCGCAAGATTGAAAGACCCTTACTCTTGTGACACAGCTCGCCCACAAGCTTCCAAGCTCTGCCAGGCCTGGCACGCATGGCCTTCTTGCGCGCTTTGGTCGTTGCGGTCTCGACGCCACTTCTGGAGGTGACGCTTGCAGTCACGCGATGTCACGTGCGGTGTGAAGTTTCTGTTGTGTTGCGTCTTGTTAGCAGATGGTGCTGTTGATTGCTGTTGCTTGTTCAATGCGTTGCTTTGCCCGAAGGCGATCGTGTGGGACCGCGAGGGCACCATCGCGAGCAACGGAGGAACCCACTCCGTGTTTGCCGGCCTCGACTTCAATGCTCTCCCCGAATGCACAGATAAGCTGGTCCCAGGCGGGCAGTTTTCCTCTATAGGGCCTCTAGGGGCACGCGTGATGAAGCTTGACTCGGTTGTAAGAAGCGCGGGCCCTAACTTGTAGCTCCGAGCCAAAACGCCTGTTTCAGGTGGAGTGGCCATGTGTGAGACCCTGTCGCTGAAAGATTGCGAGGGCTACACCGAGGCTGATGATACCGGAAAAGCATTCGCCCAGTGCAAGAAGAGCGGAAAGAACTGCCTTGCAGTCGGTCCCGCGTGCAAGGGATCGAAGGCACCAAAGAAGAAGCACTGGATCAGAGGCCCAGATGGTGCATACTGCAATAACGTTTGCAAGGACAATGGCTTCAAGAAGTGCAACAAGCAGGAGATGGCAAAGATCACGACAAAGGATCTCATCAAGGCAAAGATGAAGGAGGCCGGTTACACTTGCAAGTCAGTGGGTGGCCACAGGAGCTACTCCGGAAGCCCGTTCTCGACAAACCGAGCCGGAGACGATTGCTACTACTACTCCCCGGGCACGGCGGCCTCCTCTATCAATTGTGACCACAACTCCTATGGCCATCACGCGCCGCTCTGCTACTGTGACTAGAGCGAGAGCATGTGAGAGCATTGTAGAAAGTGCCTGGGGTGCCTCATACGAAGCCCCAGATCCCTCGCGCGGGCTGAAGCAAAAGTTGGTGCCGGTGCCGTGGGGCGTGGGCGGCTCATGGCATGGATGGGGTCTCTCATTTTAAGGTCAATCTCGTGTTTGGGCAACTCCTCATCATGTTTGGGTTTGTTCTTGTTCGGATGCATTGGAACTAACATTGGGCTCGGGCTTTGGGGTGTTCGGGGCCGTTCCAGAGATTTCAAGAGATTGTGTATGGAATGCCTAGCAGGAAGCTGGGTGCACGCTTGCATGGACTGGGTCAGCCAGTTTAGTGCCTGTTTTTTGGGAGGCGCATTTTGGATTTCCATGTGGTGTTCCGCTTGGTTGAAGTTCCGATGGTCTCAGTTTCCGGCCTGCTTTTTCGCAGAAGCGCGTTCGTTCCTTTGCTGAACGGGCTCATGAGGGCTTAGATGCCGCTCCCCTGCAGCTTTCTGGCCAGAGAGCTGCCCCCCCCCACAGCGGCTGGAACGAAGCACAGGCCTGCCCGAATGCAGCTGCCGAAAGCGCAAGATTGAAAGACCCTTACTCTTGTGACACAGCTCGCCCACAAGCTTCCAAGCTCTGCCAGGCCTGGCACGCATGGCCTTCTTGCGCGCTTTGGTCGTTGCGGTCTCGACGCCACTTCTGGAGGTGACGCTTGCAGTCACGCGATGTCACGTGCGGTGTGAAGTTTCTGTTGTGTTGCGTCTTGTTAGCAGATGGTGCTGTTGATTGCTGTTGCTTGTTCAATGCGTTGCTTTGCCCGAAGGCGATCGTGTGGGACCGCGAGGGCACCATCGCAAGGAACGGAGGAACCCACTCCGTGTTTGCCGGCCTCGACTTCAATGCTCTCCCCGAATGCACAGATAAGCTGGTCCCAGGCGGGCAGTTTTCCTCTATAAGGCCTCTAGGGGCACGCGTGATGAAGCTTGACTCGGTTGTAAGAAGCGCGGGCCCTAACTTGTAGCTCCGAGCCAAAAAGCCTGTTTCAGGTGGAGTGGCCATGTGTGAGACCCTGTCGCTGAAAGATTGCGAGGGCTACACCGAGGCTGATGACACCGGAAAAGCATTCGCCCAGTGCAAGAAGAGCGGAAAGAACTGCCTTGCAGTCGGTCCCGCGTGCAAGGGATCGAAGGCGCCAAAGAAGAAGCACTGGATCAGAGGCCCAGATGGTGCATACTGCAATAACGTTTGCAAGGACAATGGCTTCAAGAAGTGCAACAAGCAGGAGATGGCAAAGATCACGACAATGGATCTCATCAAGGCAAAGATGAAGGAGGCCGGTTACACTTGCAAGTCAGTGGGTGGCCACAGGAGCTACTCCGGAAGCCCGTTCTCGACAAACCGAGCCGGAGACGATTGCTACTACTACTCCCCGGGCACGGCGGCCTCCTCTATCAATTGTGACCACAACTCCTATGGCCATCACGCGCCGCTCTGCTACTGTGACTAGAGCGAGAGCATGTGAGAGCATTGTAGAAAGTGCCTGGGATGCCTCATACGAAGCCACAGATCCCTCGCGCGGGCTGAAGCAAAAGTTGCGTGCCGGTGCCGTGGGGCGTGGGCGGCTCATGTTGTTTGGGTTTTCTCTTGTCTTTCAGTCCAAAGGCCTCCCAAAATTCTGAGAGAACCAGGTGATGCGAGTTTCACCCGGGTTGAGGGCTTAGGGCCTCAGGGTTTTGTCATAGCCAATCTCGCGGCACTTGGCTCGTGCACAAAGGCAGCGGTACCGAACCTTTTCGAAACCCCAAACCCCGAGTTGAATGGTTTCTTAAACCCTAAACCCTAAACCCTGAACCCAAAACCCAAAACCCTAAACCCTAAACCCTACACCCTAAACCCTAAACCCTAAACCCTCAACCCTCAAAGCGAGGCCCACCATCCCAATCCCTAGAAAGCTGAAGTCCGAACAACCGAAACTTATGCGCCTGAACCCCAACCCCACCCCACTCTCAACGGAAACAGCCAAGTCCTAAGCCCTAAACCCTAAAGCTTAAACCGTAAACCCCAACAGGGAGAACCGCAGCCATGAGCCCATCCGCGCGATGGGTTCTTGCAATCGTGGTCCTTGCGGCCGGTGTGGACTCTTTCCAGGTGGGGTTTAGGGTTTAGGGTCGTAGGGTCGTAGGGTTTAGGGCTTCTAGGGTTTCAGGGTTTATGGTTCCAGGGTTGTAGGGTTTTAGGTTTTGGGTTTTTAGGGTTTTAGGGGGTCTTTGTTGGTTTTGTGAATTTTGGCAGGGTTTTAGGGTTTTGAGTTTTAGGGTCGTAGGGTTTAGGGTTCCTTAGGGTGCTAGGGTCTTAGGGTTGAGGGTTCTCGGGCTCTGGGGTTTAGAGGGTCTAGGGTCTGCTGGCTTTGTGCAGGGCTGTTCTCAATGCCGAATCGGGAGGCTCAGGTTCAGCTTAGGTTTTAGGTTTTAGGTTTATAGGTTTTAGGTTTTAGGGTAGGGTTTTGGGGTTCCGAGCTTGGGTCTGCGGGCTCTCTACATGTGGGTGGTTGGCCATTCTTGGTAAATAAGCCCCTAACCTCGAGAGCGCAAGACCCTGTGACCCTAAACCCGAAACCCAAACCGAGCACGCACGATGCTGTAGCGGAGACCCCCCCCCCCGGCAAAAAGTGCCACCCTCATCCCAAGGCCCCTAAACCCAAACCAAGGTAGGCGTTTGGGGCATTCTACTATTTGCTTAAGAAACCCACAACAAATGCTTCCTTATTAAGGGTAATATAGGGACTATTATTGGTTTTCATTCTGTTGGGTTTCTGAAGCAAATAGTGGTACTCAGGAGTGTTTTTCAGAGGATTTAGGGTTTAGGGTTTAGGGTTTAGGGCCAGCCGAGCTTAAGACCAGCCCAACCTCCTCCGCGGAGGTCGACACCGCCCCTGAGGCGCAGCGCAACAGTGGTTTAGGTTTAGGGTTTAGGGTTTGGGGTTTAGGGGTTTAGGACTCAGAGTTAGGGTTTAGGGTTTAGGATTCCGAATTTTAGGGTTCGGGGTTAGGGTGTAGGGACCTAATCTCGGCCCGAAAGCCTCCCAGACATACAACTTCCGGCCCCAGAACAGCTAAGCCTTGCAAGAAAACATCATGGGTTTCCCTGCTACCCCCCTCTATTGCCAGGGTTTAGGGTTTAGGGTTTAGGGTTTAGGGTTTAGGCTTTAGGGTTTAGGGTTTAGGGTTTAGGGCTACCCCCCCAGGTTCCCCCCTTAAACATCCTCAATTGGGATTAATTATCCCTAAATAGCCTTAATCATGGGGGGAACCTAGGGGGGGTAGTATAGAGGGAGTAAGCATCCCACCCCCCACCCGGCCACCGATGGATCCCAAGCGCAAGCTGGCTGGAGGCAAAAGGCGAAAGCTAGCCATAGGGTTCTTGAGGGACGGGGGGTTCACGGGGGGCTATTTCGAGCACGCGTTGGCAATGGCTGAGCTTCAGCCGTCGCAGGAACCCTAAGCCCCCTAAACGCAAAGTCTGAAATCCCCAAATCCTCTAGAATGTAGGCTTTAGGGTTTCGGGTTTAGGGTCGTTGATCCCGGAACACCAAGAACGACTTGGTTACCCCAGCCCCCAAACCCTGACCCAAGCCAGAGCCCTTCACTAAGTACAAGACGCACGCTTTTCAAAAATGATTGGCTTCCTTTAAGGGCCATCGGGCTGAAGGAACGACGCTCAGAAGTTGCCGGGGTATCCAAGTGGCTCTTGCCACCCTAAACCCGAAACCCGAAGCCCTGAACCCTACACCCTAGACCCCTGACCTCTGAAAACCCCATTGGGAAGGTCAGGGGTGTGCTTCCACTGATTATCGCGACACCTTCACCCTAAGCCCGACATGCGACACCGCAAGCAGGCAGGCCTTTCGGCCGACTTCATAACGCACGTAGCCGAAGCGCAGCGGGCCCAGCCGGCATCCTCCTTCGTGCACTGGGAGCAGTCACACCCAGAGACTCCAAAACCCCTTAATTCAGGAAGATACCTTAAACCAGAATAGGGTTCCTATTATAGTTCAAGGGATATTCCTCAATGAAGGGGTTTGGAATCACTTCGAGCATCAACTCGAGCACATCGGAGCACAAAGCGAGTTAGGGTTGGGCGAGGACTTCGGGTTTATGGCGGTCCAGGACTCACCTCAACCCAGCCCAACATAATGCAACACCACAAGCAAGAAAGTAGAGCTCACCTCGAACAGGTTTGGCACCCTGGTTCTGAGTCCCGAACAAGAACCCGCCAGTGGGTGTAGGCCTTAAGGGTTAGGGTCCCTCCTACCGGGTTGACACGCCCGCCAAGATTTCTGGCCGGATGGCCCAAGCCCTTACCCAAACCCTAAGGCCCTAAAGCCTAAACCCTATAAGCCTGGACCCCAAAACCCCAAGACCCCTAAGCCCCTAACCCTAAACCCTACACCCTAAACCCTAAACCCTAAACCCCAAACCCCAACCCCCAACCCCAAACCCGAATTAAAGGGCTGTACCCTTCACCCCAATGCCTCCCAACGCCCAGGAAGCTGCAGCTGGCAAAGGCGCGGCTCCATACCATCCGGGACGAGGTCAACGCCATGCAGCCGGTGCAGGCTTCAGGGTTTAGGGGTTTAGGGTTTGGGGTTTAGGGTTCAGGGTTTAGGGCTGCTTGGAGGGTCGTGGTACGTCTGACCTCAGTGATAACGGTACTTATAACCCAATGATAACCGCATCAGGATACTCAAGGGGCTATTAAATGGGTTATAACTACAGCTATAAGTGGGTTAAAAGTACCCTGAACCTCCAAGAAGGATTTCAGGAGAGGTTGAGGGATGAATTTCGGTTTTAGGGTTTAGGGCCTTAGGGTTTCGGGTTTAAGGTTTCGGGTTTGAGGTTTGAAGGCGTAGGATGGAGGTTTCGGGGGTCTGGTGAAGAGGAGATGGACCTCCCCAACACCAAAGCCCATTCCCCCTCCCCCCAACCCAAAAAAACAAAAGGCCCCTGGACCCTAAACCCGAAACAGCCCCCAAGAGCCTAAACAGGAAAAAGACCCAAACGCAAAAGACCTCGAGCCCATGAAATGAACATCTGAGCTGCGTGGGAGGCTGACGACGCAGAAGACACGGTGCTTCTCCAGTCGCCTTCCGACCTTGCCTTTCCGCGGGAGTCAGGGCCTGAGCATTCGTGGCATGCGGGGGGTAAACTTACGCAAGCTTGCATAAGCTTGCGTAAACTTGCGTGTGGATTGGGTTTAGGGTTCAGGTTTCCGTAAACCTGCTGTGTATGTCTCCCCTAAACCCCAAACCAAAAGACCTCAACCCTAAACCGCCCTAAGCTTCAACACCCCAAACGCTACGCCCTAAAACCCCAAGCCCCAAAGCCCCAAAGCCCCAAAGCCCCAAAGCCCCAAAGCCCCAAAGCCCCAAAGCCCCCCAAAAGCCCCAAAGGCCCCAAAGCCCCAAAGCCCAAAGCCCCAAAGCCCAAAACCCCAACACCCCAAAACCCCAAAACCAGAAAACCCCAGAGCCCCAAAACCGCAAAACCCGAACACCCCAGATCCCTAAACCCGTAAACCTTAAACCCGTCATCCCGAAACCCTAATCTAAGGTTGGAACCATGGGCCCTTTGTATGGTCCCTTACCCTTGTTGAAAGGGATCCGAAGTATGGACCTTTATTTTATATAGTGTATATGAGGGAAAGACTGAACCCTGGACCCCTAGACCTACATTTTGGGCCCATACTTGGGACCTTAGTGCTTGGGGGCCTCCCGCGCGCGCGAGCAGGCGTTCGGAGACGCTCCTCTTTGAGGCTGAGGCTTCCCTCCTTTCAGAGAGTTCTTTGGGGGTTTTCGGGGTTTTAGGGGTTTAGGGGTTCTTAATGGAGCCCGGGTCATGGGGGGTAGGTACCTAGGGTGTTATTCGTTTGTGGGCTTTAGGGTTGAGGATTTAGGAGTTTACTATACCCATCCAAGAAACACCGAGTCCCAATGGTTTAGGTTCAGGATTTCGGATTTAGGTTTTAGGGGTAAAGCTACGGGGTTTGGGGTTTAGGGCCCAGGCCTAAGGGGGAAGTTTCAACTCCAAGGGGGTTAGTTTAGGGTTTAGGGTTTAGGCTTCAGGGTTCAGGGTTTGGGGATTAGCGTTTAGGGTTCAGGTTAGAGTTTAGGGCTCAGGGATTAGGGCTTATGGTTGAGGGTCACAGGAAGAGACGCCTTTTACGGGGTCTTTCAGGGAGAGGGTGTAAGCCTTAGTGCCTTAGGTAGTCCCTTGGGATACGTTGTTTTCTCCCTCTCTTATTGGGTTTAAGCGGATCATATCTAGGAATCATTTTCAGACGGTTAAAAGAACAAAACCAGGGTCCTTAAGCAAGGGGGGGCGGTTCAAGGGGGGTATGTAACCCAAGGTTCCCCAATACTCCCTGGTACGCCTTGCAGAAAAACCCAAAGCTTCACAAGCCACGCACTCGGCAGTTCAGGGCTCAAGGTTTGGGGGTGGTTGGGGTTTA